ATTCTCGTAAAATGCGTTGAATACCAAAAAAGGTGCTTTAGATTTATGTGGAAGATATGAGCCAAGCACACCAAATTTTATTTTGTTTGAGTTGAGAAAGATTTGTTTTGTCAGTGTAGAGTAAATGCAAACCTGTAAGAATGGGCATCACCTAGGTTAAAGTCACCTGCATTAGTCTGGGTACTTCAGATATGTCAAGGGAAAATAATATTTTTAACAAAATAATGATACATAATGTAATAATTTAAATAATAATAATATATAATAACAAAAATAATAATTATAATAATTACTATAATAGTATTCAGACTGGTCATGTAATAAGTCCTGATCTACTAGTGTCATCAGGAGAGATAAAGAAAATGAATTGATCAAGAAGTTAAACACATTTTAAAAAAGTGAATAATGCTTCGGCGCTAAGTTACGCCATTATCAAGTTAAAAAGCGAAAAAGTATACGGTGTAATACAAATATATAAAATATGAAAAAATATATAAAATATTTGCAGGTCATATGGGTATAACTCCCAAGGTAAGAAACACAATAACGAAAAACAATGTACAATAGAGTCAGGTAAACAGTTTGGCACAAATGGAGTCTGTTTGCGTGTTAAGGGAAGGTTTGATGTTGTTTATGTACAACATCTCGTAGACTAAGCAATCAAACTTGCTGTTACATTTCCTCAGACCTTTGAGAAGGCGGTCAGTCTTTGTTCTGTTGTTGCCATGCTGTGTTTCAAGGTGTTTCCCAATGGTTGAATAACGGTCTTCACTCAAGTGTTGATGCCGGGTTCACTGCCCAACAGTCACATCAACGAGATGTGGTACATAAAGGACATCATGCCTTCTCCTTCTCTTTTTTTAAATGTGTTTTCAAAATCTTTTAGTGTTTTTAAATGCTAAAAGATTTTGAAAACACATTTTAAAAACAATTTTGAAAATAAAGCACATTTTGAAAACAATTTTAGTAGAGTTAGACGAAGAAAAGCAACTCTGTCAGATAATACACATATCAATCCCACGGGACTGCAGGATAGAACTGAAGGAAAGAGGGAGATAGAGAAGTATCAAGAGCTTGTTAGAAAGATGAGGAAGATACAGTATGGAAAGTAAAAACTGAAATAATACCTGTCGTGATTCGTGCACTAGGGACAGTTCCAAAAGAATTACCGTATTTACCTGTGCATTGGTCGATCCCGTGTATAAGTTGACCCCCAATTTTTGAGGCCAAAAACTATATTTTCTTAATTTCCAGGTAAGAATTTCTTGGAAAACTTATTTTGTATTTCTTAGAATTTTCTTTCAGCTACTACGGATATGTGAACAAATCACAGCAAGTTTCAACGTAAAGTTTTAGTAAGCTTATTATGGCATGTACACGAGCGTTTTATCCAGTTTAGCAACGCYGTGTACTTCATTCGCTTGGAAGACATTTTCGTAAACAGTTGATGCAACGCGGTCAAGACCTTGTTAGAAATGATGAACACGCTAACAAGTGAGTTTGTTTCTATCGATAAGAAGCATTTTGATTGGTCTTTGTCTAGTTACTGAAAGCTAACAACACAAAAGAACTTACCAACAGTACTTTAATTGGTCCTCATGCATAACCAAAAACAAAAGATCTGTCCAACACTAGCAACGTTCGTAAGAAACCAAACATCTAACTTACCAACAGCAGTTTAATTGGTCCAATCATGTAACAAGAAAAAAAAACACCTACCAACCATACTTGATTGTCAGAACACGTGTGCATAACAAACAGAAGTCCTCGCGCGCGCTCGAGACCGTATCCTGCCAGGTTACTAAGCAGAGAAGTTTGATGTACGAAGGATGTTTTCTTCGAGAGGCTTTACAGCTTTATTTACAAGAAAAATATTGGTTCTTTATGACAAAATTGAGCCAGTGAGTATCTACAACATTCGGGTTAACATTTAGTGGACAAATGTTAATGCATTTCAACTTGGAGCTCTGATATAGAGAAACAGATCACTAAGCGAACGTACATTGTAAACTGTGCTGCCATTTATTACATGTTTGTTACCACTGAAAGACAATTATTATGCTAATTATTCAACTAATGCTTGGATCTCAAGTTTTGACCCATGTATAAGTTGAAGGCGAATTTTTGGACTGATTTTTAGGTCATGAAAGGTCGACTTATACACGGGTAAATATGGTAGGAACACACTTGGACAAGATTGGAGTGAAACTCTCTGTGGAACCAGTTAAGAAAACAGGCATTCTTGGAACAGCAAAGATTCTCTGAAAATTACTTGATCTCTAAAGACACTGGAGGTGTCTCAAGAAGAGTTGAAAGACCACCAGCACTACTTGTTGAGATGCTTATTTTACATAAAAAGAATAAATTAAATAACTACGTCATCTAAAATAATCTTCCTGCCTCCAAAAGGCACCAAACAATAACAAGCAATGGTCTCTGAGTATTTAACTGAATTTTCTTGAGAAACTGGGTTATAATTCTGTTTTAAGTAGTAAAGGGGTTCCCTTTGTATACCTGATATATTCTCCAGTGGGATCAATCTTTTTTGCCAGGTCTCCTGGACAGATGAAAGGAAGTGTGTCTTGGCCAAAAGTGCTTCCAGACAGTGACAACCAACTTCCTGCATTTATGCTCCACTCTGCATCTAGCTGGAGCTCCCCAAACACCTATTAAACCAATGATATGTAAACTACACAATACCATGTACATCTTCAGTTTACATAGAGTGGTCATCCTGCAATGGCTGTTTCTGTATTTCTTTGAGTTATTTTTTTTTTCTTTTCTATTTGGTGACTGTCATTTCAACAACCTGTGATCTGATTTGTGAGTTTTGTTATGATGTGGCAAAGCAATAGCACCTCCAATGCAGATTTGCATGAGAAGTCCCATTAATTTTGTTCAGACCTTTAGAACAATTTAAACTGCATGTCTTTAGCACACATGTATCACACTGAGCCACTCAAACATTTTCCTGGAGCAGGTTATATGAAAGTTGGAGGCAGTTTGGGTTCCAAAGGCACGCTTTCAAGTGTCTTTAGGGTGTGGGCCTGTAGCAGGGTTTCAGGGTATCCTTCCCTGGAAAAATTTCAATGCTCAAGGATGCCATGACAGGGCATCTGACAGAATCCAGTGGTGCGGGTCCACATAATTTGCTAACATCCACATCCTCTGCATAATCAGAGCTTTTTTCCACATAGGACAGAAAAATTGTGACACAGCGATAAAACAGCTGCCTTACAACCCCTCAAGCAAAAGTTCCGAAGAGATTGATTATTTTGAAGTAGTTTTTCTCCTAAAACAGACGCGAAAACACGCCAGTTCATTTGTGACAAATTTTTAACCACAAGGTGTTCCAACCTTCTTTAAGCGAAGAGCCTGGAAACTAGTTTCCATGAAAAATGCCTGGTTACTAAGCTTGGGACATTCCATGAACGTGACAACAAATTCTGCATGCAAAGTGAGCTAAAATGCTACAGAAAAACTGTGTAAATGAATAAATACTTGTCAAAAAATACCAGGAAAAAATCAAGTAAATGTCAAAGTTGGAGAAAATGATGTGCAGTCTATCAGAGTTTAAATTGTGGGCAAGACTTTGAAGTGTTCTTCATTTCACTGTTGTTTGGTGCCTTCGGAAGGAGTTATTATCAATTTTGTCAACTGTTGAAATTTTTCCGCATAATCCAGTTTGTTTTCTGCATAATTTGCTATTTTTTATGCACCCTGTCAGATGGCATGCCATGAGTTTCATCATAATCACAATATATTTTCCCACTGGAAGGAGACAGTAGAAACCTCCTGAGGAGGCCAGCTGATTTTAATCAGCATTTGTCGACTGAGGCCAGCTGATTTTGAGAAGCGTGGACTCGTTTATGTTTATTTGGCCTTAACAGCCTATGTGTTATTGATTACCCAGGGCAGGAAAAAAACCTGGGTCGCACTGCCTGGGGCAGGTAAATTTTTCTCTTGTGAAAATACAAGTTTGATGGCCCACTCAGTGGGAAAGCCAAATTAGCCTTAATAGTCTTGTGAGTCCAAGTGAAAACGTCAGCTTGATACATGTAAATGATAATTTCCAGTCAGGAACTGCTTGAAAACTTAAGACTGGAAGATGAGTGAAACCATAAGTTGGAAGCATGGCTTAATTCAAAATCTAATCATTCTTTATTACTGGTCATCTTCCAATTGTCATATTCAATCTGCCATACTGGATTCTGTATTTCAAACAGGCAAGCAATATTTAATTGGGGGCATAGCAAACTGAAATGTAGTGGCCCACAGGGCAAATCAATCCGCTAAGAGGAAGAGAGACAAAACCGACAGAAAAAAACGTCTTGGCATTACCTTAAATCCTTCCTCCCAACAGATCCACAGGCATCCTCTTGTGAGAAAAGAACCCACAATTTGTCGTGCAAAATCAGAAATCCAACCTTCCTGATGCAGCTGCCGCATTATGGCATCAATAAAAGGGAAACCTGTAGCACCCTATCAAGACACGAATAGAATCATGAACCACTGCCACTGATCATCCTGGTATTAATACATTAAAGTATCTACTTCTTAACACTTAAACATGGATATACCAAGGATGTTTTGTTACCCATGAATCTTCAGCAAGTAGTATACTACCAGCTGATGAAAAACAAGATGCAGTTACTGTCTGAGCTACATTTCAGGATACATGTATTTGCATGGGTAAGTTACAAAGATGTTTTAAAACAGGAATTGTGAGACAATAAATGGAAAGACAAAAATCTATTGATCATGAGGCCAAGTACTACATTGTAGATTCATTTAGTAACAATCCTAAACCTTTAGCCACAAATATACCTTTTTCCACTGTTCCACAGCAAAGGCATTGTCTTCCCACTCGATTTCTAAGCACAGCGGGTTATTCATCATTTGGTGCAAAGTGGGATTTTTGCTACCAATCGTGAAATAGAAGTCTCTCCAAAGCAGTGAATCAAAAAGTGACAAAGGAGGCGCACAATGTTTAGCCTACAACACGGAACACAAAGTCACTTAGGACTCCTCTTTAATGTGCATTCAAACATAGGTGCTAAATAAATTATACTCCCAGAAAAATCAGTTGTTTAACAAAGAGGAATCCCAAATCATGTTTATGCTGCAGATAATGTACTACTGAAAGTTTGTCCATAAAATAGACATATCTAGTGTACATACGTTCTGTGACTATATGCACTGGAAAGTATGGGCAGCTTAGCTTAACATTTTTCAGCATGAAGTTAAAGTTGCATTGGCAAAAATGGCTGAAAACAGCAGATTTGGTGAGCTTTCCACTGCTAAAACAAACGAAATGTTGGGATTTGTCTTTTTAATTATACTTCAGTGAACTTGATATTTTTTTAGCAATGCAATGGTAGTCTTGATGGTGACAACTGTGTGAACAAGTAAACTCTTACTTTGCTTTGCCTTGCGCTGTGTTGCTTTGCTTTGCTTTGCTTTACTTTACTTTATGTGTCTGTTATGTGGGTCATGTGGTGAATTATTGTGACTCAAATGTATTCATAATTTGATCACTAATAAAAAAAATATATTGCATGATGGGACTGTTCAAGAATTACTAGACTAGTACACCTACGTTTTGATACACTTCTGACAGTGCATGGTAAACTGTCCGTGGGGAGAGGCAACCAAATCTGAGGAAAGGACTCAACTTGTCTTGGAAGCTGTGGAAAAATGCATCATGGGCAGACTTGATTTGAAAACCACAGTCAACCATCTGCAGATCACAAGCAACACAAAAAATTAAAATGGTGTCATTAAAGTTATGGTTACAGGTGGAGTGTATATTAAATGTTCTGCATAGGGAGAACTATTGCCTTCTTATACACATTATGGATTGATTTCATAAAAGTTAAACAGAGGAAATCATAGCAGTGACCTATAGTTTTTCATGTTAGATCTATAGAATTTTACAATCTGTTGCTTATTACTCTTCTTAGTTTTTGTTTGGCTGAAAAAAGGAAAGACCTCTGCTCTCTTGATGTCAGCTAGAGTATATGCTATTTCATTTAGTTGATGATTTCACTATTCTAGAGGCTGAATATTCTGAGGAAATAGAAAATAAGGAACTTAATTCACATGTCAAGTACTTCGTGCACAAGAGGCTCTAATAGAGGGCACAATTTAAACTAGGAATTTAATTATAGCACAGCTACATTTGTAATTCACAAAAAATTACAAGGCATTCAAAAGCTATCAAATACCTCTTGAAAAACTGCATCAAGTTTTTTCAATGCCTCAGTCTCTCCCCCATGCCATGTCCCTCTGCATGTCACCTTGGATTTTTCAATTCCAAGATCTTCAACTAATGGTATATTGAAGTCCTTGAAACTGTCTCCGCCATGTACCAGGGATGAAACCATGTGTTTATTCACTGATTCTACTGGTGGTTCTGGTGGACCAATGGTAGAAATAACATCAAGGAAGTCACCAAAAAATACTGGAGCTTTGTTGTCATTTGCCTTGATAACTTGCTCAATGTCATACAAGGAGTGAGAGGTACATGAAACAACCTTCACGCCAGCACTTTCAGCTAAGTGAGTAATAACAGCATCTCGCTGTTTCCCAAATGGCTCACTTTCAGTTTCAAAAGTTAACTTGTTAATCTGTAAATTCTGCAGCAGTTTAGGAATAACTTGGGCTGGATACCCTTGCACAACAAGTAGCTGAGATCCGAGGCTTCTCAAACCATTGTCCAGGTCCTCTAAGCATTCAATCAAGAAATTCCACCGATTTGCCGAGATGTTTCCATCAGGAATGAAAGGTGGAAGGATATACACTGCCAAAAGGTCACTACTTCCTTTTATTGCCTCACATAATGCAGGATTGTCATGAAGCCGAAGATTTTTTCGGAACCAATGAAGCCCCACTCTTTTTTCCTCAGCCATGACACAGCTGAAAAACAAAAGAAAATGAATTTATCAACAAATGCTGATTAAAATATGTTTGCTTGCACTTGAACAAACCATTTTCCCCAATGGTTTGACCTGTGATTGTTACATGGTATCTGAAACGATGGTGATTTTTGTTAAATTTTTAACCAGAACAAATGGCAAGACAAAGGAATCCAATATGGATCATGGGTTAATGGTTA